TGCATTTTGTTAATTTCACTACCCGTTTCCAAATCACAGGATGTAAAAAACGTACGAATTGTTAATTAATGCTACTTATTTATCAAATCGCATTATCTACCAGTAAAACTGAATCTAGATTCTTAATTATTTATTAATTTCTTTATTAAGTAATAATATTATAACCTCCGGGTTAGCTTTTTCAGAGCTCCCTAAAAGTCAGCGCCTAGGTTTACAAAGATACGCATCTGAAGAGAGTTGGAATGAGTATTTTGTTTGCCCATTCATTTAATTAAGAATAAAACCGACCAAATTAACTACTTATTGTTTTCAGTAGCAAGCTTTAATTTGAATAATGCTCTCAAGAACGCTGATTCGATTGGGGTAGACTACCGAAGTTTATATAAAAGGAAATGGGGTGTGCGATAGACTTCCCTCCACGTGGTGCAGCCTGGTAAACGTATACTCATATGGAAAAAGTCTGTTAATCGGGAGGTGACTTCTGACTTCAAACTACTATCACCCCACTTATGTCATATTCGATCACTTCCACAGTAATTACCTTACCCTACCTTTTACCCTACATTTCTGTCTGTCTGTCTTTTCTACATCTGTAAATCACTCTTCTCTTCCTCCCTTTCGATTTTTTTGACTTTAATGCTCCCCTCCTCTGTTGAGTCTGAAATCGACCAAAGGGCTTATGATGACTATCATAAAGCCTGTCATTTGATATAAATAAATATAAAATCACATCTTGGTTTCATTATTATTAATGATAGTGTTACAGATGATCGATTTCTTGTAAGTTAGGCTTAACCGCATCTATCTTATTTATACAATAACTGATTTCAATTTTTTCATATAACAATGCAACAAATTTAGAACCTTGAACCCAACAGAGATGATAAAATATTTCCATATATATATATATATTATGGGGGGAATTATTTTAATAGTGATTTAGGGCAAAAAAGGACGATTCAAATAACCTTTTTGTGAATGTTGCCTCAAGTCATCCTGGGGTCAAATCATTTTAATTTAATTCAAACCATGGTTAAAACTATGATATAAAAACCGCGAAAGCTTTGATTTGTTATATTTTCGAGCAATTTAAAAAAACAAAAGGTGGTGTGAAAATTCAGGTAAAAACCGCAGAACTATGATCCACATGAAATATCGTCATTGGACCCGTAATTGGGCGCCGTTTCAAATTTCGAATTCCAGAAGTTGAAAAAGTTCGTGATCTAGGAAGTTAATTCTACATATCCGAATTCCTGGCGTCAATAACAAAATGGGTGATTTTGCTTTTGGCTTTTTGATCTTCACAGTATCCTTCCTCAAAATCGACCAATCATATACTTGCCTAATTCTGATTGGCCAATTTTAGAGGGTGATTATCATTTTTCATTGCCCGAACTTCCGGTCATTTTTCGTGAGGATGCTTCAGAATCAGTTGCCCAACTTAGTAATTTTCATATTTTTAATATACAAAACCACTGAAACCCTTTTGCAAACGTCAACACGTCTCCAAGTGTATCGCTTAGTTTGTAACTACATTACTGGAACCGATAGTATGGATTTGAATTCCGTATGCCTCCGATATGCTGAAGTGGATAAAATCGATTCTGACTTAGACAATCCCATACAGAAAAATGCTGCTCCCTTTATTATTGGTTACAGAGTTCTTCTTAATCTACCTGCAATGTTTATTTGCCTAATTCTTGGCACTTGGTCAGATTCAAATGGGCGAAAGACCCCGATGGTTATTCCAATGATCGGTGCTTGCTTGGCCTGCTGTCTTTTTGGAGTAACTCTGATACCTGGCTATTCCTCTATCCCTTTTCAAATGGCTTGGCTTCTTACAGGAGCTTTACTATACGGACTATGTGGAAAAAGCAGCGCACTTGGAATGGGGGCACATAGTTACATTACTGATTGTAGTACAGAAAATGAACGTACTACTAGAATAGGCAGATTGATGGGATCAAATTTCATTGGATTGTGTCTTGGGTCATTGCTTGTCACTCTATTTTACTACCTATCTTCATATGGCTGGGTCTTGCTCTTTGTTGTTGCCTTCAATATTGGAACACTGATTATATTAGTTGTACTGGTAAAAGAAAGCGTTTCAATAAATTCTCATGATGACATCGGTTGTGAATACGGATCACTATACGTAATGAATCAGCCTACAGAGGATGAAACAGCATCCGGCTCGAGAGAAACTTCGCATAAAAGTGGACGCAGGTGCTGCGTGACAATGATGAACTCTTTAGCGGAATCATGGAATTATTTGTCCAGACAGAGGCCAAACGGCCGGCATATTTACATCCGAATTCTCTTAGGAGCAGTTCTTTTTAACCAAGTTACGAAGGCTGGGGAGCAGGATAGTATCCTTCTCTATGTGGTGCGTAGAGATATTGGATGGACAGATGGGATTTATGGCGCCTATCTTGGGGTTTACTACGCTTCCATGGCGATCAATCTCATCCTCATCTTTCCTCTAGTTGACTATTTATTTCATCCCTCAGATGTGACTCTGATTCTTATAGGATTGGTGATGAAATCGATTCGGCTGATTGGAACTGCTTTGACAACTGACACTATGTTGATTTTCAGCTTTGCTGTTATTGGGGCGTCGGCAGGATTTATTATTTCCTCTCTGCGTTCGCTGATAACCAAATTAGCTGATTCTGGAGAAGTAGGAACAAGCTTTGCGCTCATGTCAGTTCTAGAAACATTTGCTAACTTGTTTGGATCTATTCTATTTACATCTGTTTATGCTGCTACGGTGTCTGTGTTTCCAGGATGTATCTTCATCATTGATGCTTGTTTGCATATCGCAATGATTGGACTGATGGCATGGCTAGGGTGGCGTTTAAATGAACTTCCTGGTTCGAACTAAGTAAAAAGTTACTTTTAATTTTATTGAATTACAAACAGAAACATTACAAGAAGTAAAGGCATTCATTCGGTTTAAATTGCGTTCATTTCGTTTGAACTAATTATCGTTTTTTCATCGTTATTTTTTAAGTTCAGAATATTCTATTTTAATAAGCAATACAAAATTTCTCTATTCAAATTCAAATGCTTTTGTGATTATGGTAAAATTTATTATTTAAATATAAACTACTGCACTAATTTTTGCAATTGTCTTGATTTAGGTTAAATATTTACTGAGCTAATTGAAATCTTGTTAGCAAAAAAATTAAACTGTCAATCAAATTCTCATCCTCTTTGGAATATGAGTGAACATCATTAATTTCATCTGATTAATATGGTATATTTTTCCACGAAGGCATTGACTCTGTGAATTATGTCCAATAGAAATCGAAGGTGTTTATTCTTTGCTCAGCTACTTTGAATAAACTATAGATAAGTTGCTAACGTGACGCTTTTGGAAGAGGAATATGACCAGTTAGATTAACTGGTTCGAGCACCCCTGGCATGAGTCATTCGTAACACAGGGCGAGGGGGGGGGGGGGGTTGAATCCAGAAATTAGAACTTCTGAGTGCAATGAACTATACCAATTTAGGAAATAAATGCGGGTCAAATAGAACTAAATCTTAAGACAAGATAGATAAGTCCTCTCATTTCGTTCTATTATTCATTACCATGATTTAAAAATTTATTTTACATACCACTATCGACTTGCTTAATTCTCCTAACCTAAACCACTAGGAATTAAAATACACCCCCGTAATTCGGTAGCCGGATTAAGGAGCAGGGGTTTTAAATACTGGGATTAGAAATTAGCCATCAATACATTGTCGTACACATTGACCGATTTTTTAGGCTTAATTAAACGAACTAGTTAATTTCTTTAAAAAACCAAGCGTTCAATTTTTACTTATTTTTCTTTTTTTGCTATGATCTACGGTCTAGCCACATGCTTTAATGTGTAATCATCTCCGTGATTTAATTCAATTGAGCGGCGAATAAGGGTAGGTCAGTAGTGTAATAACGGTTCAGTGACCACTGAAGCAAAATTATGACAATACTTGGGGCAGATCCATAATATTTTATTTTATAACAAATGGCAGGCGTTTTGATAGTTACCTTTGGCTCTTTAGTTGACTTCGGGCTTCACAGAGGGGATTAGGAACATCAAAGTGAGAAGAATTCGGGAGGGGGAATAGAATAGTGATTCACAGATGTGAAAGAAACAGACAGACACAAAGGTTCAGAAAGGGTAAGATGAGTAATGTGGTAGGGGTCGAATATGACATACAGTGAGGGTGATGGTTGTTTGAAGTGAGAAGTCAACTGCCAGTTAATAGACTTTTTGCCGTATGATTATACGTTGCCCAGGGTGCACCACGTGGAGGTAAGTCTATCCCACACCCCAAATCCATAATATTGAAAAGTCAGAAAGGGTTTAACGCCAAGCGAGATGCACCAGCATGATTAAATCACTTATGGAGTGTTCTTTACTCATCCTCATACGAGGAGTGAATATCGGTGTCTTAGTAATTACAATGCAAATCTCAGCATTCTTCTAGAGTTGCATCTAAGAGCCAAAATAAAATAAATGTTTGATCTAGTGTTTTTAAGGCTATATTGACTACCTTCCTACTAACTCCATAAAGGTGACTTTGGTAATTACTTTTGCCAATTAACTCCCTGTAACTGGACAATAGAGTGCCAAAAGATAACACCTTCGAGGGCACATATCAACTATAGAAAAAGTCCGTATTAAATGCGGTGCAGCTTTCCCTGCTAAAGTCAAATAATACGACAAAACATTCTCTCAAGCATCGTCCTCAATAAACCGGAAGGTAATGTTTTGCTTTGAAATGCTACCATTTTAGTTATTCAATACCTTAACAAATATTCAGCCCTAATGCGAATTCTATCTGGCAATCTGTAAACCCAAAATTAATAATGGCGCTTGAGGAGTTAAGATAAGAAAAGTCATCTCCTAAATCGAAGGAATCATAATCAATAATGTACCAAATATGTTACAGAAATATTATCTAACAATATTCAGCCAATGTCTTGCCTGCTAAAATATAGACGGAACTCTGAATATCACCATAGCACCATGGAAGAGAAAGCATTGGGACTCGAACTCTTCTAAGGATAGAACGACCCGTAAAACCCATCCACATCAGTGAAAATAGTTAAGTTTTACCGCGCCAAGACTTTCAACTCTCATCTACAAATGCCAATAGGAAAGTTCACTCTGCAACAAATGATGCGACCGGACGTTCGTCTCTTAGTCCCAGGCCTACCCCCATGCATTGGTAATCGACACAGGGTCCCTTTTTAATTCAATTTGGTATAATAAAGGCCTAGGTCATTCTGCCCAGTCTCTTTATCTATTAGGTTTTTTGCAGAGTAACCAAAGCTATGGGGGGGGGGCCTTGCGTTATCATGATGGAAAACAAC